AGCAGGAACTCACAGATCATGGATATTCAAGCGTGTTACACTCAAACTGCTGTTCAGAGTCTGCTCCATAATGAAACAGACCAGTAATGGCAGGCCTGTACTGACATGTACTGTAACTGAGAAGGAACGCAACAGTAGATGACCTGCTGACCTTCTGATAAACTCCGGAAGATCAAGATGGATTATTACAAACTCATCATTTATTAAGACTGTCCTTACAGGGGACTTTAGGCAGATTATACCACAAGACCCCAGGGCTCAATGGTGAAGGCTATATTAAGACATGTTTCATAACCTCCACAATCCAGGCATGACCAAACCCCTAAGAAACCTATTACTTTCCTCACAAACCACTGTATGAACCCATTACATAAAGACAATGTCCCCAGTCTCTTAAAAATTCCAAGTGTCTCTAAAACATACTCTCCAAAGGCAGTCAATCGTTCACACTCATATCTGTTTCCAATTTTCTGAAAAATATTTTTTTTTTCTGCCTTTGATGACAATTAAGCAGGATTCCATAATTAGAGACAGCGGACAGGGGATTCCCAAGATAACCTCTACTTCACCTTTGAGAGTTCTACACACGTTTGCCAGCTCAGGCGTACTCTACCAGTTCTATTACCTTACCATGCGTAACATCTTTCATGAACCCTCAGAGACACTGCTTAAATCCTTTGTAGTGCTCATTAGGAGAGTGTTAGGTCCAGCATGTTTCTTTAATCTAATCAGCTCTCTCCACCCTCCTACCCTCCGCTCCCCAGCTTCCCTCTCCACTCTTTATTCTCTTCATTTGTCTGCTTGAAAGACACAAGGCCGCACGAGTGAGAAGGGGGGAAGAATGTAAAGCAGAGGTTGGAGGAAGTCCTCAAGATTAGACAAATGTCAGGGGAGAACACTGAATGAACACTTTTGCCTCTTGATGACTCATCAACAACCTTTATAGAGGCGTAAACTGTGGACAGGGGCTGTTTATAGAGTTCTGAGGTAGCACGCACAAGTGATCCGCAGCTTGTCTGATTTCTAAACAATGTCCAGAAGTAAACGAAACCAATGTTAAATTCAAGAATCACGAGATCGAATCAAACATTTTGAGACTTTGAGAGAATTCACACTGATGCTTCATAAATTCATACGCAGCATAAATAAGGAGTTTGTTTTTGTACAGTGGCAGACTTGCAAATGAATCTGTCAAAAAAAAAAAACAGGTCTGGGAAATGAGACTGCAGCTGTTTGCCAGGGTGACACAGGAAAAAGAGGCAGAGAGAAGGAGAGTGTGGGAATAAGAGGAACGGATTGGAGAGACAGAGGGGAGAATCCTTAAGAATAGTTAAACAGTTGCCAATATCTTGTCGCCAACAGACAGAAGATGTGACAATACCAGTTGACAGCCAGCTTCCCTTGGCTGCCACCCATTTATTCTATGTTGTAAATAAACAGTTTAAGGGGAAATATCAGCTGAGAGACAGGAATGAAGCAGCACCCAATATTTCTTCCCTCTTCACACGCACGACGCGACCCAGTTGCCAGGCGAGTGATGGACACAGTGAGTAATGAGAATGGCACACACAACCTGTTTCGCTAGGGATGATGGTAACAAGGGTTGACGACACCACGTTTAAAAGGTCCCCTAGGCTTCGCTGTTGTTACCCCATCGTAACTCTGGCTGCTGGATCTTCATACCGTGCATGTATATTTGTGAGTGATCAGAGAGACACTGGGGTTACGATGGAAAATGGATGGCGGCCGTATTTCTGATCTAAATGATGCAATCATGGAGATGATGAGGATACTCTGCCTGGAGTCAGGGTTTTAGATGAAAGACAGATACGAACTGCAAGTCTTAAAATTGGTGGTCAGTGTGACTGAAAAAAAATAAAAAGAGAAGCAAGTGCTGTTCTGGGACAAAGCTAAATCTCAACTGCATGTAATGATAATGTTGATTAAGTATTGGTCAGTTTTAATGAATGAAATATCAAATTATTTGAGTTGACTAAATTAAAAGCGTATTTAGTCATCTATTATGCATTGTGTGATATTTTCATTTTAATGAAATAGTACATCATAATTTACAATAATCATAAGATGTATATCATACAACATATTATACAGTATCATATTATTCATTTAATTTTACATAGAAATACCATGATGTGGTGTTGTGACCTTGACACCAGATCAGTTCATATCTCAGTGATTCATTGATTTTGCATGAAACTCAAAATGATGCTTTCAGACAACGCTTCAAATTTAGTCACCTTCTGCAGTCTTCTGTTTATCTGCTCCTAAAGATACGTTAGCTCTGACTGAATCTCAGTAACACAAGTCCCGCCTTCTAGACCAGAACTGAAATGGCTCTCAACGTTATCAATACCTTTTGTCATTGTCAATTAGCCTCACTCATTTAAATCCATTTAGTGTTAAGTTAGTTTTTGTCATAGAAACGAAGGTCCTTAACTAACTCTTTGAAGAAGATTTTAAGTATGTAAATGAAAGCTGGCTGCAATAGTTTGTGGTGATTCAAGTTTAAAGATTCCACCCTCAAGGACTTTCTACACTTTACATGCTTCTCTAAATGAAACTAATTAGAAGAATGCAGCTTCTCCATTAGGGCTTACATAACCTTTAAAATCATTTAAAAACAGAAGGGTAAACAAATAGCCAATTATGTCACTGTGCTCCAATCATCCAGTAAACACACACACACAGAATCCATGCAGAGTTGGATGCTTTTTTTTCTGTCTCTGCCCCCATTCCCTGTGGCCAGTCAGCCACACAGGAACCTCATGCTAGCTTCCTAATTGTCATGCAAAGGTAGTTTGCAGTAGTTGGCGGCTTGCGGCTCTTTTTTCACTGAACATTAACCCTGCAGTGTGTCCTGCCAGTCCATTTCACTTACCCTATTACTGAGTCAGGCAGCTGGACATTGAGAAAAAACTCTGGAGATGTAGTACACATCATCCCTTCGTTACATTTGCTTTAATAAAAGCATCCATTTTTAACTGACACCTGCCAAGGTATACCTAGGAAATATTCTTTGGGCTTTAAAACTGACTCTAAGGGTGCGTTACCAGGTTTAGGTTTGCAAAACTAATTTCAGCTTCACTTGTCTGGGTGAACACTGAGCAGAACACTGCACGTCAGGTCCAAATAAGAAATGGAATGAGAAAGAAAAAAACGGTTTACCTGGCCAGATATTCTCAGAGGTATTCAACTATTTTCAGAACCAATTCTATTCGTCTGAGTGGACAATGACGACACATGCTGAATCATGGGTACCAGCTGCTGCTGCCACAACACCAGGCTGCTTATTGTTCTGGTTCAGAAACATCTGACAAACCAGGACATAGGACTGATTACTCCGAGCTGATTGACTCTTTGTTTGAAAACAAAAACCCTGTGCTCCCCATCTCTAACCAGGAATTTGGAGGATTTTTTCAATGCAAAACCTGTGTTTTGTTCAAAAAGCTTGAGGGCAACCTTTTCTTTTTTTAATATATATTCAATGTAGTTATATGAGGAATGAGGTTGACAGTGGAATACAGAAAAGTGATCGTCTATTTGGGATAAATGCCTTGTGATCACAGGTACAAGATCACAAGATCTGACCATGCTTCTACTACTACTCTTCATTCCAGTCATTAGTACTTCTGTAAGTCTACTGTCACATACAGTTCACATCCATCTGTGCCTGAATAAGTTCAGTAGAATTCATTGCTCGTCCTGTTTTAAGCAAACATTAGCATAGCAGCTGCACGGTGTCAAAGAGGAGTATCAGCTGCAGTACATTGTTTACCAACTCTGACTTGGAAAAAGAGCAGACTAATGTTGAAACTGTTCCCCTCGCCGTGAGTGAAATATGATACAGTGAACCATCAGTGAACTGGTGTTACTGTATTCAAGGAATGCATTGATTAAACCAGGACCATCCCAGGCAGCACCAGTATTCTATATAATGGATTTCTATATATGTGAATGCTGGTGGATGTCAGAAACAACTCTCTGCTTCTGCAAGCAATCTTTGCATGGAGGAGACTGCAGCTTTGAAAATGATTTCTATAGTATACATACAATTACCCGATGCAGCCGGATCTACACAGGTCACCTGAAATTATATGATATAAACAACATTTTCATCAAATTGCAATCATTTCCCCCACAGGTACATACATACGCGTGTACATAGAGTCTTCAAAAACCTCTCCTATCTGCTGCACATGAGTGGAAGGAAATAATCAATTTTGCTCCAGAGTCACAAATGCAACTCAAATTACACCGCATTTCTGTCTGGAATTCTGTATAACAAGGAAAATGTGTTTTTTTATGGTTTCAAACACAAATTTATATGTTAATGTGCTGAGGGTGAGGGCTGTGGTGGCGGAGGAGGCGGGGGTGTCTTTGGGGATGTATTTTCAGCATATATACACTGATCTGTCCCCAAACTCAAATATGAATTTGAGTAATTGTTTTATAAGGAGTTTGTACATTTACTAGGTTGATGGTTCACAAAATAAGGGGCGGTGGGGGAGCAGCAAGTCAAATGTTAAGATATTTTCCCAAATTGTGCCACAGTGAGAAAAATGCACTGTTGTTTATTTGATTAATACCACAGTGATGTGCTCAGATATTTCATACTTTTTTATGTAAAAAATAATGTGCACATTGATTTTAATTGACTCAGACACACAGATCTGGCCTGAATCTATGTAGTATAAATTAATAGTGTTCCTGTGAAGCATATGGTCATTTTTAAAATCTTAGAACAATTAGATGTTCATCATTAAACACTTTATTTAAGTTTATACTTAGCACCCTATTGCCTCAGAGGAGGTCTGTCCACTGACTGATTTGACTCGCCGGTGGCTGTGTTTTCACAAAACATAAAAACTATGACATGGTTTTGCTGGACATCTGGCTGAGTCTTTTGCTGAAGTCAAATGAGGCACAAACAAGAAGATGAGTGAAATGAATTATAGTGTCATTAAAAAGTGTTATTTTAAAAGACTTAGCATGAGCCTACGGCTGTAAGAATGGCATCAGACCCCACTGTCTGGACCAGACCAGTCAACAGTACATCTGTTGGTGCGGCTGAAAACGGCCAGCAGATTTAAAACTAACTGACATCTGAGAGTTTGGGGAGTTTACGTTCTAACATTTGGTAGCAGTGCCAATGTTTTGTTTATTCTCCATACGGCCATATATCTGCCAGGAGGGCTCTTCACTTCTATAAACATGTGCTGTTAGGAGTTTTAGTGGAGCTTTTGGAGTCCCCTACTTATTTATGGCTTATAGAAGGGCTTAAAAAAGCAATACCCACTAGCTGAAAGAAAAAAAGAAAAGGTGTCTTTCTACTTCTCACAACAATCGTTCAGGTTGGTTTAATGTTTCTTTGAATCTCTACCTGGCATGGCGTCGACCAAGTCTCCACACAGCACCATAAACCTGGGTCTGGGAGTGAGTTTATTAACAGCCTCCACGGCCTGCCTGGTTAGTTGAACCTCCTCGTCCCATTCATCGCCTCCTCTGCTGCAGTCGCCCTCCCTCCAGGCCTTCATCAGCCCAAGTTGGGGGTCTGCAGCCTGAATAAGGCAAAAAGGTCCCTTCCAGTGACATTCAGCATCTGAAGCAGAGAGAAAATATAGAATATTAATAAAGGAGTTTGGACATGTGAACATAATGAAGGAGAAGTAACATCAGCCAGAACAGTCACGGTTAAATTCAGTTTTTGTCATTTGCACTCACCAAAAGACACATTAATTTTACTGTGGATGCTGCATTTAACACTGCAGCATCAAGACTGGACGTGGACAAGTACTGATGGTAATGACAACCTCTGACATAATCGACCAGATAGGCATGGGGACATGCTAAGAGCAGATGCTAATAGTAGGTCTGAACAAAAGCCTCGTGCTCCCTTCAATCATTTCCCAGGAAGTGTTCTGAACGTAAGCAGCACTCTAGTGGTCTTCGGGGTCCTACGTGTTCTTTCTACACATATCCCCTCACAGCTTCAGCAGGGGTCAGTCCCCCTCCAACACCTGACTGATTTAAATTTTAATCCAGATTTAACCCAATAGGAATAAAAAGGACTTGGTAGCAAATTAAGACCAAATACAAAAATATCGTTCAAACAGGAAAGAACTTCTGCTTCTTCTGCCCCCTACTGGAGATAATAGATCAGTCTAATCATCTTCCCAGACGTTAGCTGTCTCTTCATATGTCTGAATAATTCTGCTGTGTTCTGTGGACTATTAGATTCAAAAAAGTACATTCAAATTACACAAGACTTTTTTAATTTAACTACTATAAACTACTGATTTGAATACTGTTTGTATTTATTAATAAGACACTTTGCTGATGTGTTGCAGTAGTGATGAAACAATGTCAAACTTGCACTCTTCTTCACAGAGCACTGCTGGAAGTGTCCTTTTCAGCGCAGTGGCAACGCTCCGCCCACATCGGGTCACCGTTGCCTCGAATACGTTTTCAGCATCATAACCGACATTATAAAGGAAACTACCGTTAGCAATAAAACGAAATGCAATACAATGTATTTGCTCCAAGCTTAGCACAACACTACGATGAGTTTGGCAAGTTTGTCATAGCAACCAAATCAGCGTCACGGCCTAGCTTAGTGAAACCAGAAAGTCAGAGTTCCCTCTAATACGAAGTTAGCCAACTTTGATTTAGCACTAAGCCCGCTTCAAGAATCAGACCCCTGGAGTACCGGGGTCAAGAGGTCCACAGAGGAAAATATTTAATCAGTGTGCTCAAACATTTTACCCACAAACTTGGTTTAATGTGTGAAGGCCTTGAGGTCAAAAGTTTGTCTTTGTCTGCGTCTACATGACAGTAGTGATAAGGTTTCAGCTCTAGGCAGAGTTCACATCTGGGTCAAGATTAATGTTTGATTTAGTTTGTTCTAAAACCAACTTCTGATAAACTGAGGAACAGGTACGTGCTTTGACAATAGTATTTTTCATAGTATTTTAGTTTTATCTCCTCTTATTATTTCTTAAAAAGTTATTCAACAAGGCAACATCCTGCTTGTTATCAACAACACACTCAAACCCATACATACTGGCCCAGTTCTTCCTATTTTTGTTGAACTGACATGAAGTTTGAGAATCCACTCACTAGAAAACATTAAAGCTGTGGCTCTGTCTCTGGAGCCTGTGAACAAAAACACATTACAGACAAATAACAATAAAATGAAAAAGCTAAACACACGCTAAAGCAAAGGAGAACGAAAGAAAAGCTCCAATGACAGGGCATGGGAAGCAGCATTGGTGTGTGTCTGTGTCGACTTCAAACGTAAACACACACTTCAAACATGCACTTGCGGAGATGTCTCTGGTGGCAGATCATGTGCTGCTCCAAACAAAACTAATCATAATTTGAGATGAAAGAACTCACAGAGCTTAGTTTAGCTGCAACTAGAAAAGGAAGCGCTAACATTACGATTCTTCTTTTGTGTTTTAACTTCATTAAAACACAATTAAACACCATATGCACAAAACCTATGGGTTTGTTTAAAAGCTAGTTTACCTTCTCTAAAAAGACAGAAAAAATATAGTGTAGACAAGTTGTCAACAGTAAGTTAAAATTAAATAAAATATTATAAAAATGTAAAATCAAACAACTGAAAATATAGAAAACAAATCAGAGAAACTAACTTAAAGTGCATGTTATATATATATATATATATATATATATATATATATTACATACTCCAGTTTAACAACACTATTAGATACATAACAGGGTTTTTTTTGGGGGGGGGGGCATTCTAAAGTCAACGGAAAAGAAGAAGTGAGAGCTGCTGTTTAGATTCCTGACTGACAGAACAACATAAGCTCAGTCCATAAAACGAGGCTAATGAGCATTCGACAAAGTTCATATGTTAAAACAAGCGTTGATAATGTATATAACTATAATTAATTCCAGCTAATGCGTTAGCCTCTAATTCGGCTAACCTCCGGAGCTAACGTGACTGTGGTTCACCTTCTGTCAGTCCACTGAAAGTCCGGTCTTTGGCTCTCAGAAAGATGTCCTCGGTGTCAGCCATGAGGTCTAAAACTTAAACAGCCGACCAGGGGAAACTGTTGTGCCGCTGGTTAGTCTGTCAAAAAGTCACCGGAGTGGTCTGCCGTAGAGTTCCGATCTGTCTGAGCTGTCAGTGCTCTGACAGCGAACGGCAGTCAGGATCGGCGATCGACTATTCTGCCTGGCATGTAGCGCCAGTGGCGGTAAAAGGAAATATGGTGCCCACAAGTTAAATAACCCCCCGAAAATAAAATACGTTTATAAGGAAAGAGAAAGTTTTTTTTTTCTTTCTCAATCGTTTTTCTTCCTCAGTCTCTCTTTATGTATTACCACGTTTAATGCTGTCATTATTAAGAAACTTCGGAAGGAGTTGCTCTTCAGTTAAACAAGTACTTTTAGTTTGGTCTAATCACGTATAGGTTTTACTGTCCCTTCTACTGCTGGAGTTTGTCGTCAACAAAGGGTCTGCAGCCTTGGGTGGTACCAGTGTGGTAGAGGTATTTATGAAATCTTACATCCATTATTTTTACTTTAACATAAACCACACTGTTATGTAGCTGTATATAGACACTTCGTTTGGAGCTCCCTCATCTTTATCCTTTTTTTTTCCGGGCACTTTGACCTATAAACATTGCAGACAATTGCTGTAGCTGAGGTGTGCCCTCTACTTGTATAATTCTGAATTACAGGACAATTGAGGTCCAGTGAAATGATTTGTGGAAGAAAGTAAGAAGACAACGTTGGTTAATTGTTACCTGAATTTCGATTAGGGTTTAAATCTTTTTTGGAGGGCAATTAACTAATGTACAATTAGCATTAGGTTAATGAATTATTTTATTTTATTTAATTAGTATACTCTTGATAACGTTAATGTTTTTCTAGCAGGTTTATGGCTGTGCTGTCACCCCACTAGGTCCACAAAACGTGGAAGTGTTGAAAATTTTGCTTTGTGTTCTCTAGTTCTCTAGCCTGTGGACAGAGCCTGTGGACTTTCAGCACCATGGATAGAGCTCCCCCACCAACCCTAAACATTTGTGAACATCAGTTTAATTAACCTCCACATATCTGCTCATGTACCAAATATAAATCCTAGCTTTTTTCAGATGACTTATTTGTACAAATGTTTAGTTAATTTGTGATATGAGCTTTGTCACATCCTACTGGATGTTGGCATCAGAGGTTTGCTGTGGTAAACTGGTACTAAAGAGTCATACTCACAACCTGGTTCCAAGGTGGTAATACTCGACGACTTGTTAATTAAATATTTACTAAAAGTAGTCCTTTACCATGTGTCTGCATCAACAGCGGAATACTTTTAAAGCTGATAAAAACAGCGTTACGAGTTCAAATTAAGAAATTCCACAAGGATTTCAATATTCAGTTAGTAGAAATATTGCCTAGTTGTTTTTAAATGTCGTATATAAAGATATTTAACTACACAGATACAAATCAAAGCAGTGGTGACATAAGATATATGAAATGTAAAGAAAAACATTCTAAAATCTATACAGAGAAGTGAATATTTTAAACGGATATTGAGAAGGTATTTTACTCTAATCTCTCTCTCTCTCTCTCTCTCTCTCTCTCTGTGTGTGTGTGTCTGTACTCCCAGATTCCTCCTCCTCCTCCTCCTCTTCTTTAGCGAACCAGACCCTCTTCCAGCCCAGTTCTCTTCCTATTCGCTCACTGCGCTCTCATCCTCAGCGTGGCTTGTGTCTCTTCTTACTCCTGTGCGTAAGAGCGCACTGATGGATCTGAACTGGACTTCTGAAGACGCCAAATCCGACTCTGCTAAGACGTGTGAGTGCTCGGCAGCAGCAGCAGCAGCAGCAGCAGCAGCAGCAGCAGCAGCAGCAGCAGCAGCAGCAGCAGCAGCAGCAGCAGCAGCAGCAGCAGCAGCAGCAGCAGCAGCAGCAGCAGCAGCAGCAGCAGCAGCAGCAGCAGCAGCAGCAGCAGCAGCAGCAGCAGCAGCAGCAGCAGCAGCAGCAGCAGCAGCAGCAGCAGCAGCAGCAGCAGCAGCAGCAGCAGCAGCAGCAGCAGCAGCAGCAGCAGCAGCAGCAGCAGCAGCAGCAGCAGCAGCAGCAGCAGCAGCAGCAGCAGCAGCAGCAGCAGCAGCAGCAGCAGCAGCAGCAGCAGCAGCAGCAGCAGCAGCAGCAGCAGCAGCAGCAGCAGCAGCAGCAGCAGCAGCAGCAGCAGCAGCAGCAGCAGCAGCAGCAGCAGCAGCAGCAGCAGCAGCAGCAGCAGCAGCAGCAGCAGCAGCAGCAGCAGCAGCAGCAGCAGCAGCAGCAGCAGCAGCAGCAGCAGCAGCAGCAGCAGCAGCAGCAGCAGCAGCAGCAGCAGCAGCAGCAGCAGCAGCAGCAGCAGCAGCAGCAGCAGCAGCAGCAGCAGCAGCAGCAGCAGCAGCAGCAGCAGCAGCAGCAGCAGCAGCAGCGCAGACAGCAGAAAATACAATTAGGTTCTTGTGATATTCTCTCTTTCCGCTGATATTTGTTCATGTGTGTGTCAGGGCGGATAGATTATGTTAGTCCAGCTCCATCAGTGCGGATGACGGTGCCGTTTGGATGTACATTTCTGGACTTTTCAGCATACCATGACCGTGCGCCTTCCTTTCTCTCTACCAGTCTTTTCGTCTCTCTGTGAAGTTGATGGTGGAAGCAAACACAATGAGGGGGAAATACTTTCTCCTCGCCTTCTTGTTGCTCAAACTTATGGCTCTGGTGTGCAAGGCCGACGGGGAGCCGGGGATGCTCGGAGGATTCGTAATGATCGCCACCTCCAACGGCTCCAAGGAGGAGGAGAGCGTGTCCGAGGAGACCCCGCACACGGAGGACAAATGTCGGGGCTACTTCGACGTGATGGGCCAGTGGGACCCGCCGTTCGTCTGCAACACGGGCAACTATCTCTACTGCTGCGGCACCTGTGGCTTCCGCTTCTGCTGCGCCTACAAGCACTCGCGTCTGGACCAGAGCACCTGTAAAAACTACGACACGCCATTGTGGATGAAGACCGGACAGACCCCGTACAACAAGAAGAACAAGATGCACGACAGCACCAAAGACAAGACCAACTTAATTGTTTACATTATTTGTGGAGTAGTGGCCATCATGGCTCTGGTGGGGATTTTCACCAAACTGGGGCTGGAGAAGGCGCACCGGCCCCAGAGGGAGAACATGTACAGGTGAGCCTCCGTCATCCAACTCCATTCCCTTCTTCTCTTTCTTCTTCGTCTCCAAGTGTGCTTGTTTACAAGGAGACTTGCCGTGTAGTAGCCTACGCACCCAGTGATGTGGAGTGTGCACAGCATGCCTTTGGTTTCTGCAGCTCCCTTTATATATTCATGAAAGTACAATAGGAATAAACTGCCCTATAACTACGCATTGCATCTCACAGTCAGTCTGGCTGTAGTTTCTGGGCAACAACAAGAACTTAGGTCATTTGTCATGGACGCTGCATGCTCTGTCCACTCCAGTCGAGCTGACCATGGTGCTATATAACATCATTGGAGCCACTCACATCAAGAGGGGGGCGGCTTCTTTCACTACAGGGCGGCATTGCGCTCCATTGTGTCTGCTTTGAGATCAGTGCAAAGGCTTTGGTGTAATGTAATTGTTCAGATTGAATGTGCAATGACTGCACAGAAGAAAGAGAAGAGATCAAGATAAATAAAACCACGCAGTTAACACTCAGCTGCACCTCACCGTTTTATTTAACAAAAAAAAAAAAAAAGATGTGCAGCCAAACTGAATCATTCAATTAACCACATTGTGCACTGCTCCCTAATGTCTGCACCTCCTCCATCTCCCCATTTCTGTCTGACAGGGCCGTTGCCAGCGTGCTGCAGGGCGGGTGTCCAGGTGAGCAGTACCGCGGGGAGGAGGCCCTGGGGATGCACTCACAGCACTGTGTTTCCAGGACCACAAACCTCCGTGAGATTTTCTCATTTTCATCATAATTGTTTTCAGAGTTTTTGATTCAATCCTGGCTTTGAACTGTGTGTGTCTGTTACTCAAAGCAGTGTATGGAAGTGTGCGTGAGGTGTGTGTCAGCAGGACAGAGGCTTCTCGCAGTGCTAAGGATAGAACTGAGTGCTGAAAAATATCATCAGAGACGAGTTAAACTCGATTAAAAATGGATGCAGCTTTCTGCTTTAAGACTGTTTGGTTGATGATGAATGGGAAAAATAACACATCTTCACTTATTTTTTAATGTTAGTTAATATTCCACTGACAACTTTCCAACAATATTGTGGCTACCTGTCAAACTCATCTGTGGTTTACAACAGAATTTGAGAAAACGTGTCGACTCCAGTATCTATCGCTGTATAGCTCTTAAAAAGTGAATGATTAATCGCTCGTGCTGCAACAGGAGATAGTGTAGGTGTGTAAGTGTGTGTGTATATGTGAGAGGGAGTATTGTCTGTTCAGTAAATGCCACATGTGTGAACTTTGCTGTGACGAGTAGAATCTGTGTCTTTGCATTGCCGCAAGTAATGGCCAAAATAGAAATCAGACAAATCTGCGTGTGTAACCTCATGGTTTACGCTGTTGTCGGAATGTAAAATACGACTCTCTGAGATGCTGACGCTTCCGGTGTTCTTCAACTAGATGCGGTGTTCATTTTGTAATTTCTGATATTATTTAGAGGAAAAGACACGACTGAGCATGTCATAACTGTCCATTTGGATCCTGAGTCCAAGCGAGGTTGTGTTGTGTGCTTTAACATGTATTTTCCTCTAAACAGTGTTGTGATGCACTGGTCAAAAGTAGCTTCGTTCTCCACAGACCGATTTCATACATATTCACTCACAATCTAGTCTGTTACTTTCTCATGAAAGTGGTTTGTTTTTGTTCTTTCTTGCCTCGGTCAGATAACCATCCATTTTATAACATGCTGAAAAAAATAACATGTCCCCTGTCTTCTGTTTCTTTTCAAATCCAGCTGTTATTCAATGTTTTATTTTAGTTCATGCCCACATGATATAATGAGGGAATGAAAGAGGGGAGTGGGAGAGAGAGTGTGTGTGTGTGTAAGAAAGAGAGGGAGCGGGAGAGAGTGTGTGTGTTTTAGTGGAGGGAGATCGGGCGGCTGTGATTTTAAAGGGTTGTGTTGTTAGTGGGGGGGTGTAGAGTACACAGAGTATGAATGCCATCTATTTTTGTTGCGTCCCGTGGGCTGCAACAGCACCAGGCTTTCTTTGTGTTTTTAACACTGAAGATCAAACAGATGAATGCACACAAAACACATGCCAATAAATAAATGCACACACACACACACACTCTGTAACACAGTCCTCATATTCCCCTAAAAAGTTTGGTCACAGTCCGCTGCCAGTTCAGATCCATGGCTAACTTCACCACATTTCCAGAAACATCTCAGTCTTTGTAGACCACCAGTGGGAAGAATATGGGCCAGAGCAGGGTCTGGTTTCAGACTAAACTTCACTGGCTCTCAAAGGAAACAAAGCTCCTGAAATGAGTTGCGTCTTAGCCCAATGTAGCTCTGACACACACTACTGAATAATGGTCATAAAACATTCTGTTTATGCAGACAAATACTCAGGGGAGTAGACAAACACTTCAGGTCTATTTCCAGGGAGTCATTGATGGACCCTGGGTGGCGCTGTGCATTTCTTTACATGTAAAACCATTGTGAATTACATTAACTTTTCAGAAGAAAACAGACGATAAAGCACAACTGAAGGTGCAGCTAACGAAGGAACACCACCTGTGATTGACAACTGGAAAATGAATAGGAGCCCGAGGACAGCAACCAGACAATGGCAATGATTAGGTCATACTCTGCATTATTTAGAGTATTTTCCTCTAAAAGGAATTTTAATTTTGCAAAACACTCCATAGGTTCCAATGAGGGAAACGTTAAACTAGTGACTGAGAGAGATGGAGATAAACAAGGAAAGGTTTACAGGCGTTATAAATGAAGGGACTTGAAGCCTTGGGACTGTAGATACTTGGACATAATTCCAAACCAGTTACAGCACCATTCCCACATCTCCAAAATTACCCCTTCCAGTTTACAGTTTATGTTGGAACCGATCAACACAGAACTGGCTGATGAAATACTGTGATTACGAAACACAGGGAGGGGAGCGTACACACGAGAGAGTAGTCATAGGATATGTGTGTGTTTGTCTGTGTGTGTTTGTGTGCAGCTACTTGTGTTGGCTTATGACAATGAAACAAAAGTGTAATCCTGAAACGGCTCCTCCTTGACAAACATTCAGGTGACATAACCCTACTCAGCATGAAGCACTCCACCCACAGACACCATCCACATCATGATGAGAGCACATCTCATGGGCCGGGGCAGAAACAAAGGTGGCATTCATTTTCAAAGGTTTGGCTTCAGCGACGAGTTGGTCTGATTTTATAAAAGCATGAGGAGAGAAAAAGACACCGGAGATGAATGACGCGTAGTAGGTGTTTTTCTTCTCCTCTCCCTATTGTGGGGGAAATGAGATAGAAGGCTGCCCTCTCACCCTGGTAGCAGATGCAACACTGAGGAACTGGAGATTATTATTATTTGCAATGTGAAAAGCACTCCTCTGAAACCTCTAACCCTTGGGCTTGTGAGTAATCTTGTGGAGCGTTTTTAACCCCTGCAATCAGCGATCAGATCCTCCTCAAAATCCACAAGTCAGCGAGGGAGGGGATGTATCGCAAGAAATGATGGGGTGTTTGGATTATGGATTTTCCTTGGATGTGAGAATGCTTTTTTTTTGTTTTTGTTTTAAATGATTAACGAGCGGTTAAATGGACTGAAAAGGCCAAGATGGGTTTTCATTAAGGGAGTGTGAAGTGTGAAAGGACAGGAGAGGAGACGAAGAGGACACTGGAGGAGATGAGCAGTCACTGCAATGTAAATATACATCAGGGTTAAAAGGCTCACGTGCAAGAGGATGTGCCGATGTGTGCATAATTTGGCTCTGATAAAATGCAGGATTGTGCCGGAAAATCTATTTTTAGTGCAAACCACATATTGATTATAGCTTATGGCCCAGATTGGCCCATTACTGGCATCGATGAAGCCGCTCTGCTAGATCTATGCTGCAGGGGGGAAATTCCTCTGGGCCTCATGTGAATGTCAGTCACAGCAGGTTATCCCTCTGTCTGTAATCACTGTTGACCAACACCACTGTGTCACTGATGTGTTTTCATTAGGCTCACTTGTCAACAAAGGTGTAGGACAGCAAGTGTAGCATCTGTCCTCTGTGACTCTCTAATATCCATTAGCATATGGGCAATAAGAGCCAGGTGAGGGTTGACAGAGTGGGGTTCAGCAAGTGGAGCAAAAAGAGAAGATTTATGATTGATTTATGGTTTACAGAGAGCAGACAGCATCTAATCCCATCGTTCTGACCACGATCACTGTGTGATGAAATAAAGAAGTCAAATTAAACAGATGAATTATTACATCCAGTCATCTTTTTGGTAGTCCATCTAAAGATATTTGGGTGGGCCGCGCTGTAAGTTTTATTTAGTCAAAAAAACACACGCACACACACATCTCTGCAGTATGTGTAGAAACACACAATTCTCTTTTAGGTTTAATTACATCCCTGACAGCCATAATATTTGCCTTTTCATTCTGAGATGAAGAGGATGAAATTTTAATAGGTAACTCTTTTGGAGAATGTCCAGGAATGGAATAAAAAAAAACTGTCTGCAAAACACTCCAGCTCTGCCTCCTGACTGTGTGATCTCTCCACAGTGAAAGTGTGTGCAAAACGCATGCAGGCAGTGTGCAGCTGCAGGTTTGTGCCTGTCAACAGGAGCTGTGCTTTGCCTTCGTTAAAAGTAGACGAGTGTGACCTTGTCTTCCACACCTGTCATTTGAGCCTTCGGTGTGTCACATTTGATTGCACAGTGTCAGAGCAGAAAGAGGAGTCCCAGCTAGTATATATATATATATATATACTGTACAGGCTGTAGAAACAAGCAGAGATAGGGTTTGCTCAGTAAAATGACAGAGCTGAAGGCAGCTATCTGCCAGGCGTCACTACAACCCCACTTCCATTTGAAGTTCAGCTCCTGGCCTGCTGTTCAAACAGGGAGGAAAAGAAGGTGGAGCTGACGCTTCATCCCTTACTCTTAGTCTCAAAGCCTGTTGGAGTCAGAGAAAATCTACGGCTATAGCTACATCTGCTTTTCTTTGATCCCAGACATGAACTGACTGTACGCCGGTTCTTACTTCGCAGGAGAATGGACCGTAGAAGTGTCACACCTTTTCCATTCTTAATACACACTGAGGTTAAAGTTTTTGCATCGCTTATTTCACCGCACAATGTCACAGTCTTTCACACTCCAACTGCTGAGAGACACATCCACGTGGAGACCACTGGGACCCATGACAGAACGTATTACCAACCATTACCTACATCAGAACTATGCTTGTTTGATCCAGGCCCATCATAACTCTCTCCACACCTTCCTCATACAAACATCTAAACCAGAATGCTTCATTTAACCCAATTCACCTTGGGTTTGATCTGGTCACATTTAAAAACTCTGATCTGTTAAACACCAAAAGAAGAAGATGACTGTAGTTACGATGGCGGTGTCTCAGATGACACAAAACAACAGTCAAGTCACAGGGCTACACCTCAGGTGGAGAACTTATCTTTGTTTTCCCATTTAAATGATGTCAGAACATCTAAATAAGACACCGGTGACCCTGTTATTGAAGAGCAGCCGTGTCGTTAATGACTCGGTGAGTATTTTGATAAATGAAGCAGTGCTTCAGAGGGCAGAGAGGGCTGTAAGGACCTGCCAACTGTCCTTCGCCGTCCACACTATTTGTAATTTCCCATCTTGTCATTGTAACGTAAAAGACGCAACAGGGACGGTGAATATCTGAGCTTCTAATCAGCCTGGCATCCATCCACAGGAATATTAATCAGGTCATTTAC